TTTTTAAAGTCTTTAATATTTAAAGACTTAATATTTTAGGATGTAACAACAAATTCTTGTTTACTTTACAAAGATTCATGCCAAAACCGCATATAGGAGATAGGTGGTTTTAAATTTGTGATTACACGAGCATAAAATTTTCTACTTACTGTCTTCTACATACTATACAAAAGTATAATATGTAATATGTATATATTTTATAAGATATTATATAATATTTGTATAATATATATTCTATAAACAGAATATTTGAGTTACTGTAGAGTATATTAATTATAATGTATTTTTCATGTGAAAGTAACATGAGATTATTTTTGACCCATTTTAACTGGACTATAGGTAAATTTTGCAGTTAGGTGTATTTTCTGTGGCTGTTACGAATGACCCCATATGCAGACATTCTTTAAAAATGAGCTTCGAATAAAGGTCGGTAAAGTCCCTCTCATTTAGAGCATTGGAATAAAGTATATCACATCATTGTCTAGCCATATCTACCTGTCAAATGAAATATACTTGTTTGTAAGGCAGCAAACAAAACACCCCTCTCAGCGTCTACCACTTTCCACTTTGCTTCGTGGAAAAGGGGATGGTGTTGAAATCATTGGAGGCAAGACCCAGGCTGGTCAGTCTTGGCGGTCTGGCAGGGAGGGGCCCGCTGCGTCCTCACATTCCCATTCCGAGCGCTGCTCCTCAGGAGACGGCTGCCATCAGTCATCTCACATACGGTTGGAAAAAGGCTTGTCTCGCTAGCGAGCAAACTGTTATTTAAGTACACAATCCACTCGACTACTGAAACAGTTTTGCCAAACTTATCCAAGTATTCTCACATGCTTAAAGATGGCATAAATATCATTTACGGCGAGCAGTTTTCTTCAGACTCCATGGAATGCCTTCCTGCCGCCTGATCTAAGTGTCCCAGTTTACATTATGGCCTTTACTGCCTCTGTTTGATGGAGTGATCAGTAAAAATTTAATGACACTATAAAATAATAAAAATGTCATTAATTTACCACGGATCTCGGATACAGTGGTTGTAAAGTTACATTAATAAACAGAATATTTTTTACAACAAAAAGCATTGTTACGTGGGAACGTATAAATAACACACATAAATTTAAGAGCAATTTTACTGTTAGCACACACATTATTATGGAATAGCCAATAAGTGTATAAAACATAGTATATAAAATTTTATTAAAATATACTGTGCACATCAAAAATTCAGCTTTTATCTAAGCGCAAAGAAAAACCATTATTGTGTGCTTACTGTTTCGTGGCTGTTCTTCCCCCCTATCACAATTTTACATTTGTTGCCAGTAAGAGGAAGTAGATTTTTTTTTTTTTTGCCTGGATGGAAACAAACCTCTGTTCTTTCAGTTATCCCAAACCCATTCTCTCTCTCCACTGATGCAAAGACAACATTGATCAATCTTGCCATAGGAGGGAGGGAAAAGTTGCTAATATAATGCAAAGTTAAAAATGATGCCTGAGGAGTTGAATGGTCTGTGCAGTGACTCTGGAAATAGGGATAATAATGCGGCAGTCTATCTGTCACCAGTGAGGCTGCCCGCCATTGCCTCGGATAACACGGGAAGGTGATGGATGCCTGGGTCTTGTGGCTTGTAACATTTAACATTCATCAACTCTCACTAAAGGGGGCTTTATCATTTAAATATCTTTATTTAATATGCAACATCTACCTCATACATCATAATTTCAAAGCACTTAGCCAAAGTCCTGCAACACGGCAGAGCTGACTTTCATTTCTTCCAATAACTTTTATGTTGCCTGCATGTTTGTGGCTGACAATGTTTAAGTGTCTGATCACATAGTTGCATGTCAAATACACATTTCTCTGTCAATATGGAGATGGGGGGGATTTTCCTGGAGGTTTGAGATTAAGTTAGCATGGGGGTGTTTATATTTTGCTTATATCTCCAAAATAATCTTACTTGGGAACTATGTACATTGTGGGAGCTAGTTCAAGTGCATGAACAAAATTTGGAGTGAAGACCTTTCCGCCCACAGTTTATATTTGTTCCATACATGGGCATGCCCATTGGCACTTAATGGCTAAAAGTTGAAGCCTCTTGTCACTAAAGTATCCTTGAACATCTCTGTGGCCCACATCCACATCCTGTATTTACTAGACTCATGTTCAACCTCACCAATAAAATCTTTGCTTCGCTCAGCTGCCCAGAGCTAACTCGTAGACATCAGGCCCTCTTATCTGATGGTTATGTGGCTGGCAAATAAATATTCTGAGCTATTCTTTGAAGAATAGAAGGAAATCTTCTGGGAGACTAGGTAGAAATGTATATGAAAGGGCATGGCTTGGCGGGGTCCTACTTTAATCTCAAACACAAGTGCTTAATATTACCAAATATAAAATGCAGCCCACCACCCAAAACAGTTTTTTTTCCATTGATTTATTTTCTGTCTATTTAACAAGTATTTCATGGGGTATTCTTCCTTGACTTCTTCCGTGTCAAAATATTGATGTTTTATATGGAAAGTATCTCTGCAGAAGGATTTTTTCAGTGAAGTCAGAAAAATGCATGGCTTCAGAGACATCGTGAACGTGTTGTCGAATGTTCTGAATTTTTTTTTTGTTATGATGAAAAACAAGCTGATGCTACTGAATTGTGAGCGCACTTCATTTTTTTTTTTGAAAAGAAAATATATCATCATCATGTAAGCTTTGTTGTCTTAGGATTTTACAAACCATGGCATGTAATTTTCCCTCTTCTCCTTCCTTGTCAAAATATTGATATTCTTTCAGGAACTTTATTTATTTATTTATTTTTTACTGAGAATATTTTGCAGTAAAATCAAAGAGAATGACTGACTAGAAAGATACTTGGAATATGCATACTGATGGGTAGTAAGGTCTGTTGATTTCAGAGGAAGTTGTTTCTCTCCCCCCGCTTCTCCCCCCATGAAAATACAGCTAAAGGTTGTTCTTCCAAGAAGATTGCAGGTGTCACATGAGAACTCTTTTTGCATTTAACACAGGGAAAGGGTTCACATACAAATGTCTGAAATTCGAAACAACGTGATAAAACAAAGGTTGCATATTTAGCTTTCCCTGGTACTATTCATCTCCACTGTAACTCTCTTCCTTTACACCAGGGCAAACAAGCGTGCTCTTCAAAAATAGAAATTGGCTAATTAAAAGCAGCTGTCTTTGCCCTGGCCAGTTTGGCTCAGTGGATAGAGCATCAACCTGCAGACAAAGGTGTCCTGGGTTCGATTCTTGTCAAGGGCACGTACCTCAGTTGCAGGGTCCTCCCAGGCCTGGGCCCTGGTCAGGGCACATGCAGGAGGCAACCAATCGATGTGTTTCTCTCACATGGATATTTCTTTCTGTCTTTCCCTCTCTCTTCCACTCTCTCTAAAAATCAATGGAAAAGTATCCTCGGGTAAGGATTTAAAAAAAAAAGCAGCTGTCTCCCCCTGACAACATGTGAAACCACTGCATGGCTTCTGGGTGCATTTTGTTGTGTCTTGTGTCTGGGTCAATTTTTTCTTGCGTAGCACTGTTTTCACCTACGAAGATATGGGGAACCATACCTAATTTGCTTTTTATTTTCATTCTTTTTTAAATTAATATTTCAGAGGTTTCCCTACATTGTAACTAGTTAGTATTGATGACCCAGTTGGTGAAATTCATGATTATAATTTTGTTGCACATCTTTCATAGAAATGGTGCTAGGTTAAAGCAAGGTTTGTGCTGTGTTTTCTTCCAACACAGATTTCAACACATCCCATGCTGAAGGGGAATTGGAAGACTTCCTGCACAATTTGACTGATGGGAATTAATTATAGAAATATAATGATATTCAAAAATAATCATATTAGAAAGCACAAACGTAGTGAGACTGTACAAATAAGAGACAGCCTCTATCAAGTAATTGTATGTTTGCTCTTTAAGAATATCTCCAAGTTTCTAAACATCTTACAGAAGGGAGCACTCGGAGTATTTCCATCAAATACCAAACATGCTCAGTCCAGAACTAGGTCATTGAACAATAGACTGCACAGCAATCAGCACTCGACTGCTGCATAATGCATTAAGTATAACATGCAGAAACCATTCCCGGAGCTGCAAGCTGCTACTTCATGTCTGTAAATTCAAGCTGACATGACATTTAATATTGTTTCGTAGTAATGAACAACAAGGTTTCATTCATTCATAAGCACAACACAAAGCCATAACACAAAGTCTGGAGAGTATCAAGGAGGCGAGAAGGGGACACGGGCTGTTTCCGTAGATGATAGCACCCTATTAATGATGGCCAGTGAGCCCTCTGCCACCGATCTGGAGAGCTGCGAGGGGGAGTTCGGTGTGGCATTTCAGACTCCCGCTTCTAGAGAACCAGTTAAGGGTTTCCCTCCTATAGCGGCAGGAATAGTTCACTTTCTTGACTCAATGGCTGGCTAGGAGTAATGTCCTCCTTTGCCTGCCCCAGGAACTTATGGTTGAAACTCCTAGGCAAAATAATAGTGTCAATGCATGCTATCTTCTAGTTTGCCTGCTTTGAAATATTTGTTTCTGAAATCCTGATTTGTACTTTCCCAGGAATACCAGTGCCACATATGATCTCTAAATGGGAACGTGCCTCTCCCATTAAATAGCAGTACGTCTATTTTAAAGGGAACTGCTCTCACAAGTTTGGCACTTTTGTCTGAAACTTCTAGATTGCATTCCTTTTAGATTCCTGTAGCCAGCACAACAGCAAGAAGATGCACAGTACAGCGCTGGCAGGTTTCCAGTCCCAGGTTTCCTTCCCTTTCAGGTACTGTGGTTTAGAATTGGCCAGCACTGTCAGGGCCAGCACCCGGCTTCCACGGAATCTTCCTGAAAGATGTTTTGAGCCCACGGTGAACAGAAATGATGTTTGCACATCTAAGTTTTGCCCACTAAGCAAGACAGAAACTGGAAGGAAACGTGGCTGTTTGGGAAGCTGGAATAAGACTCTGATTGTTCTTTCCTCTAGGAAAGAACGCGCTTTGAGAACTTGGGGCCCCAGCTAACAGGCAAGTCCAGTGAAGATGGGAAGCTGGGCCCAGGTGTCATCGACCTCACTCGGCCAGAAGACGCAGAGGGTGAGTGGCTTTTCCTGCAGCTCTTTCCTGCTGCCCGGGGTGTTTCTGGAGGTGTGTCTGAGCTATAGGATCTTCATGGCCTTCCTTGGAAGTACCAGCTCGGTTTTCTTGGCAAAGCAGAGCAAATGTTAGTCTTCATCGTATGTTATAATTGAGGATTTTGAGATGTAGCTAGATCCTATATTACTGGACACTCAGCAATCCATATACTTCAAGGTGCCATTCTACTTTTAAACTAAAAGGACCCTCTGCCTTCCAATGAACAACAGAATTCTGTTTCAATCACTTCACTGCATTCTTGTTAAAAAAGGAAAAAAGGACAAACCTATAAAGGAGGATTTTTTAACACCCCAAATCAAGCGATCCCCAGGTGCAATCAAACAATTTTGGGAACTAAATGGCGGTTTGAGCAGATTTGGCATAAAATTAGTAATGACTTGGGTAAGGCCCAGCCTGGGTGTGGGTGCTAACCATGAATCAAGTCTTTGGAAGGCTGGAAGGAGAGACTAGCTTCACTCTCAGTGGGTTTGCCCGCAGCACTATCAATGCCTGTCCACTCTTCTGCACTTTCTGTTTGTTTGTTTTAAATGCACAGCAGCAAATCAGCAGAAATTGCTCCCCAGAGGCAGGGTACGATTTATGAGTTAGGCCAGCACTTCAGTAGTGCTGTTGCCTGGTTATTTACTGTGTCATCACAGAGTAGGGGCTGGTTTTCCCGTTAGTTGTTCCTTTTGCAGATTCCCTCCCTCCACCCCCAACAGTCAGGGAAGATTAATCTGTTCTCTTCAGAGTAACACAATACTTCACCTATCTTGGGTCTCAGCTAAAGTCCTTCTTTAGCTTCAGGGATGGAATCCTTTCTATTATCCCTTTTACTGGCAGTATTTGTCCCAAGACCCTAATCCCCAGAAAACACATGAAGACATTTCAAAGCAGCATCTGAACTGGGCATAGCTTCCGGTGATATTTGGCCATTCCAGGCAGTTCAGAACCCCCGGCACGAGCACTAGGATAGGTAGTGTCAGATGTTAGGAGGCACCTCAGAGGGTTTCCAGAAGACAGACTTTTCATACCAGTAGGAGAGACTAATGTTTAGTGATAATCCTTGGGACAAGGTATTAAAATAAACTCTGGTGTGTGTGTGGGGTGTGTGTGTGTGTGTGTGCAAACATTTATTAAGCACTTATATGCTACAGAATGTGCTATGTTTTCACATACATACTATGTTTTTTATTTACACCTCATACAATTCTGTAAAGAAAGTATTATTATTTTTCCCATTTTATAGAAGAGAAAATTAAGGCTGAGAGTAATTAAGTAACTTGCCACAGGTCACACAGCTAATAAGTGCAGAGCTGCGAATTGATACCAGGCAGCCTTGGCTCTAGTACCCCAGCTCTTAAATACTGTGCTATACTGCACGCCCTATTACATAGATATATATGTGATGCCTTCATTCTTTGAACAAACCTCTTGTGACCTTCCTCAGAATGGCCCATTTCCTCTTCCCTAAATATAGCAAGTCATGCCCTACACCAGCTCTCCTGTTACTCTGTCACACGTAGCAGCAGTGCCTGCTGAGTGTAATGGTAGAAGGGCTGTTGTGGCCCAGGAGCTTAAGGAGCATGTGCAAAGCTCCCTTCAGAAGCTTGCCCAGCATTGCCATTGAGACCTCATGTGCTTTTGGGGGACTGTGAGTTCATGAATGGAGTCAAGTTACATGCTCTGATTCGGACAGAAGCCGATGCCTTTGTGAGGACTGCTGGGATGGGTAGTTGCCTTCTGCTGACTTCAGAGTATTTCCTGGAGTCTGCTCAAGTGTGAGCTGACTGCAAAGCCTGCTGGAGTTACAGTTCATATTAAAGTCAGAGTAGATAGCAGACACATAGAATACTTACTCCATGTTGCTCCTTTCCCTTAGCAGAAAGAGTAAGGGGACTGAAGTGAAAGGAGAGCTAAAACATTTATAAGCTCCTTGTGTCAGCTTGTATTCTTAAAAGCAAGCAAACAAGCAAGCAAACAACTGTTAGGTGCTACTGTGTACCAGTCCCTGAACTAGACAGACTAGACACTGGATAACCAAAGGAAACAAAACAGACATGTTCCTGACCTCTTGGGGTTTAAAGTCTAGTGAAGAAAGACAGAAGAATAAAAGGAAAATGCACACATACATACAGACAGACATAATTATCATTGAGAAAAGTACTAAAAAGGTGAAGACTTCTTTGTGCCCCACGGAGATCCAGAGTGAAAGCTCCGAGGAGAGCTCAATGACAGGTGCGTTTGGTGGCTGCAGCCCAGAATGCCACTCCTTCTCAGTCCATACATGATTGTTTCCATGTTTCCTCTGGCTTTGAACAGAAAAAGTTAACTTTTTTTCAGCTTTATTGAGATATAATTGATATATAACTCTGTGTAGATTTAAGGTGTACAATGTGATGATTTCATACGTGTATGTAATAGAAATTGATTACCACAATAGGGTTAGCCAACACATCTGTCACATGACATAGTTATCTTTTTTTTGTGTGTGTGAGAAAATTTAAGATCTACTCCCTTGACAACTTCATATGTATAATACAGTATTGTTAATTATAGTCACCATACTGTACATTAGATCCCCAGAGGTCATTCATCTTACTACTGGAGTTTGTAACCTTTGACTAAGGTCTATCCACTCTCCCCAGACCCCAGCCCCTGGCAACCACCATTCTACTCTCTGTGTCTATGAGTTTGGCCTCTTTCAATTTCACATGTAAGTGAGATCATACAGTATTTATCTTTTTCTGCCTGCCTTATTTGACTTAACCTCATGTCTTCAAGGCCCATCACGCTGTTGCAAATAGCAGGGTTTCCTTTTTTATGGATGAATAACATTCTACTGTATCTATATCACATTTTCTTTTTTCTAAAATGATTTTTTAAAAAATATATTTTAATGATTTTTTACAGAAAGGAAGGGAGAGGTAGAGAGTTAGAAACATCAATGAGAGAGAACCATCGATCAGCTGCCTCCTGCACACCTCCTACTGGGGGTGTGCCTGCAACCAAGGTACATGCCCTTGACCAGAATCGAACCTGGGATCCTTCAGTCTGCAGGCCAACACTCTATCCACCAAGCCAAACCAGTTAGGGCTCACATTTTCTTTATTCATTCATCTGTCAGTGTACACTTAAGTTCTTTCCATGTCTTGGCTATTGTAACACAGAACAGCAATCTTTTTTAAAAATTTATTTTTATTTGTATTGATTTCAGAGAGGAAGGGAAAAGGGGGGAGAGAGAGAGAGAGAGAGAGAGAGAGAGAGAGAGAGAGAGGTAAGAGAGAGAGAGAGAAGCATTAATGATGAGAGGGAATCATTGATTGGCTGCCTCCTGCACACCAGATCAAACCTGCCATGTGCCCTGATCGGAATCGAACCCTGACCTCCTGGTTCATAGGTCGATGCTCAACCACTGAGCCACGCTGGCTAGGCGCAGAACAGGTACTCTGCCCTCGATCCACTTCTACCCCATACTCCTGTAGGGCTTCTGAGGTGACTAAAGTAAGTCAGCCTGGGAAATCAGCCCTGTTCCATCCCAGCTTCTGTGGAAAACGTCTGCCCATCATGAAAACGCCAATATCACTTAGTAAGCAACTTGTAGACCTGCTCCACAGCTCTGAGCATAGGAGCTGCAAGGGAAAGGTCATCGAAACAGGCAGCTGTGCGTGTGTATTAACCACTCATCAAAATCAAATGACAAAACGATAAGCCAGGAAAACAGAAATTAAAAATATAAAAGGCAAATGCCTTCAAAATTTTATTTTTAAAGTCCAGCTGTTATTTGGCTTGAATATGACAAGACAGCATTTCTTGTTCACCGTGATATTTATAAAACTACAAATTCATTGGTGCTGGGGGTTTAGGAAACACGTTTAAGGTCTTGTTATTCTTTGAAGCAGTTGAAGGCTTCATATGTTTTGAGCAACAAAATTGGTTAGCTCTTATATGGGACATGCAAGGAGGAGAGGTCTCTATTAGCTGAGACTGTCACCATGTATTAAGAATGACAAACAGCCCTAACTGGTTTGGCTCAGTGGATAGAGCGTCGGCCTGCGAACCGAGGGGTCCCAGGTTCGGTTCCGGTCAAGGGCATGTACCTTGGTTGTGGGCACATCCCCAGTGGGGAGTGTGCAGGAGGCAGCTGATTGATGTTTCTCTCTCATCAATGTTTCTAACTCTCTATTCCTCTCCCTTCCTCTCTTTGAAAAAATCAATAAAATATATATTTAAAAAAAGAAAGACAAACAGCTGTTTAACTTTTTATAGACTTTTCATATAGCATTTTCCCTCACCTTGTTCTCCTAAGGCAAGAGTGCAATTCTTATCCCAACTCTCCTAATTTCAAGGTTGCAAAGTACAGTAGAAAGGGCTCTAGTCCAATTATTGGGATATTTGGAATTAAGCTCTTTTGCTAAATAATGGCAAACAACGGACTAATTCCTCTGGGTTTAAGTTTTTATCTTTTATTTTTATTATATTATTTATTTTTATTTTATTTTTTGGATCACCATTTATCCCTTCCATGCTCTTTTCACTTCCACCTTCCCTCCACTACTACCCTCAACACCCCCCGCGCCCCCACACACACACATACACACCACCACCACCACCACCACCACCAGCACCAGTACTGTCTGCCTGCTCTCTATGAGTCTGTCTCTATTTTGCTTGGTAGTTCAGTTTGTTCATTAAATACCACATATGAGTGAAATAATATGGTACATTTTTTATCTTTTAAAAGAGGTATGTTGAGTTCCATTATCTCCACGGTCCCTTCCAAACCCAAGATGTCATTAGGGTATTCATAAAACAGAGTGTATGTTTCCTATAAGAAAGGTAGTCTTTCCACACTACTTCCACGTAGTCCCCCCCCCCCCCCAGAAAAATAAAAGAGGAGATCGGTATCTTCAGGAGTACATGTGCCACTTGCTGAATCAGGTTTTCAAGTCCATAGATCT